GGGGGTCTGGGGCACCCCCTCACCGCTCCAGCCTCAGGGCTTCTGTCCGTCGCAGCTTCTCCTCCCACGTCTCATTGAGCTCCGCTATGATTTTCTCTGTCTCCTGGGAGGAGCAATGATTGTGGGGAGTCCCCCACAGTTTGGGGGAGGGGGTCACAGACCCCCTGGGTCCCTGTGGATAAGGGGAGGGGCTGGAAGGTGTTTTAGGGTCACCTGCAGTCGCTCCATGGCCTCAGTAGGACCCAGGGGGGGCTCCAGCCCCGGACCCCCGTTGAGGGTGGGGGATGTTGTGGCAGGGGGGGCAGAGAGGGTGGTGTCAGAGAGACCTGGGGTAGACGGGGTCTCGATGTGAGGGGCTCCTGCACCCCCATATCAAACCCTCACTGTCCCCCCAGCACCACCGTCGTGCCCTCCACAGTCCCTTAAACCCCCTGTACCCCCAAACCCCACCTTAGTTCCTCCCCCAAATCTCTTCTCCCGCCAAAACCCCTCTGCAACTAACACCTCAAATCCATTCCCCTACAAAATCCTCTAAATCTGATCCCCAGACCCCACAAACCCCTTTAACTCCATCCTCACAACCCCAGATACCCCCCAGCCCCTCACCCTGGGCATCGAGCAGCTCTCACAGCCACGTCATCTCCTCCCGCAGTCTCTCAAAACCCCTAAATCCTCTCCCAGCCTCACAAAATCCCCATCACGGCCCCCCAGATGCCCCCCAGCCCCTCACCCTGAGCACTGAGCAGCTCCCGCAGCCGCGTCACCTCCTCCCGCAGCTCCCGGATCAGCCGCGCGTTCGGGTCCTCGTTGATCACAGCGTGGCACCGGATCTGCTTCGTGCGGTCGGCGTAGCTGGGGGTTAGGGGGACAAAAAAAGACAGGATCAGGGCTGGGACTCCCCTCCCCACACCCCAAAAGGCACCGAGAACCCCCAGAGCCCCCTCCCTCACCGCAGGGTGCTCAGCGTCTCCTCATAGTTGCTGTCGGCCGGGCTCAGCGCCGCAATCATGGCTGTGCGCGAGTTCCCACCTGCAGGGATGTGGTTACTGGGGACTGGGAACCCCGAAAAACCTCCTCATGCTCCCCCACTCATCCCCAAACCCACCCAGGTTCTCCTTCAGCAGCCACGTCAGCACCGAGTCCCGGTACGGGATGAAATCCGGCTTCTTCTTCTTGCTGGTCTGTTGGGGAGGGGCAAGAGGGAAGAGGATGGTTGTGAGAGCTCCCCAAAAAACACGGGGACCCCCGAGGGTGGGTGCAGGCAGGGGGGTGACCCCCAGACTCACCGCCTCGGCCAGGGCAGAGATGACCTTGCCCAGAGTGGTCAGGGACTTGTTGATGTTGGCACCTTCCTGGGGAGAGGGAGGAGGGTTCAGAAGGGCTGTGGGGGGAGTCACCCCCTCTTTCTGGAGGGTGCAGGGGGTCACTGCTCACCTTGAGGCGGATTCCCTTGGCCCCTGAGGCATCAGCACGTTCGCTGCCTGCCAAGTCCACCAGGCTGATGCGGCTCACCTAGGGGGGCAGGGGGATTTGGGGAGATTTAGGAGAGAATTCTGGGGGAAATGGGGGTGTGAGGGGATTTGGGGTTTGGTGGGGTTGTGGGAGTGATTTGAGGGAGTGAAGAGAATCATGGTGGAGTTTGTGAGGGATGTGGGGGAAATTTGGGCATGTTTGGCCGGGGCTTGGAGGGATTTGGAGGAGGTTTTGGTGGGAATTTGGGGATATTTTCAGGAGCTTGGGGGAATTCAGCAGGGACTTTGTGGTAACTCAGGGAGAACAATGGGTGACAGGGGAATTTTGAGGGTGGTTTTAGGGGCTGGATTTTGGGGATGGTTTTGGGGGGCTCTAGGGTTTTGGGTGGTGATTTTGGAGGTGGTGGCCTTGGGGGAGTCTGAGGATCCCAGGCTTCCTTGCAGTGAGATCACTCAGCAGGTCTGAAGATGACGGCAAATTTTGGAGGGACTCAGGAGAATGCAGGGGGTGATTTCTGGGGGATTTTGGGCTGATCCAAAAGGGGTGGGATGGATTTTGGGGGTGACTTTGGGGCTCCCATGACCTTTTCTGTGGTGAGGTCGCTGAGCGGGTCTCGGCGGCGCTGGCTAAACACAATGGTGAACACGGCGTGCGAGCGGCTGCTCGTTTCGTTCATGTTCGTAGCTGCCACTGTCCTGCGGGGGAGTTTAGGAGGACCCTCAGTGCCTGGAGGTGTTTGGGGGTCGGGGGTGGCCCCACAGCCCTCTGTGCCCACACCTGGCCTTGTTGCCGCTGTCCATGAGGTCGGCGATGTCGGCGAAGGAGGCGACGGCGAGACGTGACAGGTCCTGCACGTAGGGTCCGAGCAGGGGGTGCTCCCGCACCCGCAGCCCCCCCCGGCTCTTGGGGTTCAGCAGGTCCCGCACCCGCTCGCAGTAGATCTCCAGGTAGCTCACCTGGGGGCCCCAACAAGGTCAGGAGGGCCCCCAACACTCATGGAGGTCGGGGTGTGAAACCGCAGAATGGTGGGGAGGAAAGACCCAGACCGGGGACCAGTGAAAGCCCAACTTTGGGGCACACCTCCAAATTGATGGGGATGTTGGAGGAGGAATCCTCAAAATGGTGACGGGGGAACTCCCAAACTACTGAGCTGGGGGCACAGCTGAGCCCCCAAAATGTTGGGATGCGGGGCAGATGAACCCCAAAACTGTTGTAGGGGGTGTGCAGCGAGTCTGCAAGAGCTGAACACCCAAATTGCCAGGGGGAGATCTGCAAGCCGGGGGTCATGCTCTGAACCCCCAAAGCCCCCCGACCTCCACAGAGAAGAAGAGTTCAGGAGACCCTTCCCACACTCCCTTATTCCTCTCACCTCCACAGAAAAGGAAAGTTCAGGTGACCCTTCCCGAGTGACGCGGGCAAACAGATCCTCGCAGAGCTGCGGGTGAGCAGCGTTGAGCTGGGGACTGCAGGGGGGGCTCCAGCCCTTCCCAAGTCCCTTGGGAGCCCCCCCAGGCCCCGGACCTGCGGGATAATCCCGCGCTGCCCCGGCTCCTGCCGCCCCATCATGGTGTAGGACTTGCCGGCGCCGGTCTGGCCGTAGGCCAGGATGCAGACGTTGTAGCCCTCAAAGGCGTGTGCCAGCATCTCCTCCCCAATATCCTGGTACACCCGGCGCTGCGAGGCGAAGTTGGGATCCTCTTCCTGCAGGGGTGTGAGTGAGGGACCCGCGGAGCCCCTCGCGGGTCTCCCTGCGCCCGCCCCGGCACTCACCGAAGTGTGGGACCAGTATGAGTAGTCGAAGGTAAAGTGTTTGGTGGCGTCTTTGGGGAGCTTGGGGTTGGTGATGCCTGGGGTGGGGAGGTGACAGTTGGGTTGGGGTGACCCCCCCCAGTCACCCTCAATCCCCACAGCACCATCACCCTCCCCAAAAACCTCTCTGTTGCTATTTTTAGCTTGGCGGCAGCTGGTCCTCCGGGCCTGGGGCCAGCACGGGACAAGGACGGGGACGGGGGGGGTCCCACACTGCAATCCCTCCCCCCTGGGTTGTTTCCTCTTGATCCCCCCTCCTCCGACACGACCCCCACTCACAGGTGGTGTTTCCTTGCATCTGGATAACACACTTGGCCTGGCGGCTGCTCTCCCGCGCGCTGAAGGGCCGGACTCTGACCGCCACCTTCACTGAGGCGCCCGCCATGCCCGTGTCGGTGTCACCCTGTTGCGGCAGAGGAACGTCACCCCCGGGACCCCTCTGTGAGGAGCGGGGGACCCCCGCTCATGCCCACCCCCAGCAACGCCACAGCGGGGGCCGCCGGGAGGGAAGGGGGGGCTGGATCCGTGTCCCATCCTCAATCCCGCCCAAGGAGAGCCCTAAAAATAACCTGGGGCGGTGCTGGGTGAGGTGGTGATGAAAGAGCCCCCAGCCCGACCCTGCCCCGCACCCTCAAAGCACAGGTGGCGCTTTGGCAGAGTCAAACATCAGGGCTGGAGGCAAAGGGCAGGATTTGGGGTAGGGAGAGAGGAAGAGGAGGGTGACCCCTCTGGTTCCCCCCTGGTTCCCCCCTTTCCCAGGTAATTCCAGGTCAGCATAAACAGCAC